GGAAAGTCCATATATTCCTTAAGCCCACAAAATCACCATTTTTCTTACATACATAATTTGTCCTGCTAACAATGTTTCCCTTGATGATCTTTTAGGACAGACACCCAGGCAGAGATTGACCTTGTGTGTCAGCTAGCAAAAGAGTGTGGAGCGTCTGACGCTGTGCCGTGTCACCACTGGGCGCAGGGCGGGCGGGGTTCCCTAGAGCTGGCCCAAGCTGTGAATGAGGCTACCAGCAGACCCAGCAACTTCCAGTTCCTTTACAACATAGAGGTGAGAACTGCATGTTGTGTGTTTAAGACATAAAAATATTCAGCTTGGAATAATAATTTGTGTCTGATATGTCGACAGAAACGTTGAATCACCCAGTTCAGATCACATCTAGTCCTTTTCCTTCAAAGAAAAATCCAGCATCAATAAATATCCAAATATGTTTTCTGCACAGTGAAGCTCAATCATCCAAGTAACACCAAGCAAAACATATTTTTGGATCTTTTAGGAATATACGTTTGTACTTAAAGACATGTCAGTCTATTTGATGACTTTATTTTATTGCTGTATGATAGACAGTTGTCATTATCTCAGTTCCTATAGTCAAAGTGCTCTCTGTTTGCAGTAAATGACGATGTTTTCTTTGGGAGCCGAGCCAGGGAATGTGAAAGTTAAAAAAAAAAAAAAAACATCAGCTGGTTTGAGTTAGTGAGTTTAGGAAGTTGTGACTTACATTAACTGATCCTATTCCACTGGTGTATGTGTGCGCCTCTTTTACAATATGCATGTGCCTGCACAGTAAAATAGAATAAGTCCAGTTAAATTAGTAAATTAAAGGTATTCAGTCTTCACATTATTCCAAGTTCACAATGGCAGCTAGGTGGAGTAGGGGTTAGGAGGAAGGTCACTAAAAATAAGTTGCAAGGGTCCTTAAACTTAAGTAGTTTAAGTCCAAAACACAGCACATGTTGCATGTGAGGACAGCCACCCCTGATACTTTCCATGTGAACTAGCACGCCAACATTGGGCAAGACAGAAAAACTGCAGTTTTCCTTTACTTTGGAAATCCAAGCTGCTGTTCCTTTATTTCAGCACCGGGCAGGTGATGAACTTCTGTGGTCTTATGGCTGCCGCAAAGGAAATCTAAACTGTCCTGATCCGCAGTTTTGGCACCATAAAGTTTTATGTATTTAATAAAGATATTCCCTGACGAGATGCAGCCCAAGTATAGGATCAAGTGGAATAACAAACAAAATATTTCTCAATCTTGGGTAGGTCTCCAAAGTCACTTATCCAAGTTATATATGTGAATGGTTAATATGGTGTGTGGCCCTGTTAACACCATGGAGCAGCACACCCTATGTTTAAGAGGGTTAAGAAGAGGAGAACAAAGGAAAGCAGTCCAACAATAAAAGTTAAAAGTTATTTAATTTGCTCTCTGTGGCTTTTATTAACCTTATTGTATATTCTCTAAATCTAATTTCCTTGATTCCGTCCCACTGACTGGAGCGCTCATGTGTTTCCACCTGTCTTTGTCTCCGTCTTTCCCACAGATGCCGATAGTGGAGAAGATCAGAACAATCGCCCAAAAAGTGTATGGAGCTGATGACATTGAGCTGTCTCCAGAGGCCAAGGCCAAGATAGATTACTACAATCAACAGGTGACATCACTGCTGCTGCAATAACAACTGACTCACTCACTGACAGGACTCATGCTGCTCATCCCCTTTGTGTCTCTCTCTCTCTCTCACTTAGTTAGTGTCTCCCTTCTGTCTTTCCTACACACAGACACACTAACCACTTGTTGTCTTTTTCCTATAACCAGGGCTACAGTTCATTGCCCATATGCATGGCCAAGACTCACCTGTCCCTGTCCCATATGCCTGACAAGAAGGGTGCACCCACTGGATTCACTTTGCCAATCAGGGATGTGCGTGCTAGCATTGGGGCCGGCTTCATCTTCCCACTTGTGGGAACGGTACGTATCTATAGTGTGAAACAGTGCCTTAAAAACATGCATATATATTTACTGTGTATCTAATGTGTTCATCCATCACTGTTTATAACAAACATTTTATAGCAGAATAACAGCTATAGACTACATACAGTAAAATACTACAGACTTCACAGAACAATACATTGAAGTGTACCTGGACCACCTTCATACTGCGCTGTAGAGCAGAGATTTACATGTATGGGGCGATTAACACATAATCCAATCTTGTTTGCAAGTTTCCATCAATTTTAAATATTTATAATTATCACCTTTGCTCTTTTCCTTTCTTTACATTTTATTTTCTATTTTCTTTAGCCCCATGTAGCAGCTATAACTGGTACATTTATAATAACAATGTATCAGTTGACAAAGTTAAAATAATTCAGCAATGTGAAAGGGGTCACTTACCTACAGAGAATTATCACCTGAATCTGCAGTTCCCCTTGACTTTACAGAGCTTTATAGTGAGTTTCAGCTGCAACTTTACTGCTTAGGTAAACAGTGTTTTCAGTAAAAATAATAAAGCTCTAAAAACCCTCTGTACTCTACCTGCACAGCATCCATCAACAGACAGACACATTTAGTGACTAGCTGGTGAACATATTGGAGCATTTAGGAGCTAAAGAGACAGATATTTCCCTCAGGAGTCGATGGAGACCAAAAACAGAGCAAAAAGTTTAGTTTGCTATATCGACTTAAAAGGTCTTGACATATCAGTGGTTGTGTTCACAGATTGTTTCCGATGCTCCCAAGTGACCAAAAAACAAGTTATTGTAGGTTTTAAAGTCAAATCTGGAACATGTTAGGCTTTAACCCTGAGGGGTTAATTTGCAAATGTTTTGGTGTAGAACCAAATATTGTTGCATTGTGGACACCAGAGGGAATCATAGAAATGTGTTTATGGAGAAGTTACCTTTTGATCCTGTGCACAGAGCCTTTTTGTATGTTTTCTCATGTGTATTTTAGTGTTTCACTGAGTATGCCTTCAAATGTTTTTGTCTCTGTAGCCTGCTCTCAAAGTGTCAAGCAGTTATGAATAGCTATTACACAAGACGCTGGATCTAATTTTACAACCTGGCGCCCTTCCTTTACCTCGGTACTGCAGCATCCAGCTCAAACACTGATGTCTCCAGCTGATCACAGAAATTGAAGAAGAAGTTCAGCTATATTTGGTGAAAAGTTAATTAAATGCCCTATATTTATTTCTGGGAGGCCACAATCTCTGTGATATTTTATGTTGATGTTCTGGTTTGTTGCTGTCAGGCTGAGTTTGCTTCTTAATTTAAGCATCTCTAGAGAGCTCTGACATCGTGTCTCCTGGTCCTGACGGCCCACATCGGATGATTGCTCCACGCAGGTGCTGTATCCATTTAGCCTCATCCTCCTTCCTTCCCCTTAGTTTGTCTCTGAATAAGGTTTTATATTTGGGCCCTGGCCCCTGGCCCCTGCTTTTTCCTGACAACCACATTACTGAGCTGGTTAGAGCTGCGCTGGGCTGGCTGGAGCCTCTTACTTGATGATGGGCCGGGCAGGAAGGAAGCGGCTTCCTGAGCATTTTGCCTCCTGCTGTTTCACCAGTGTACCCTGGGGGCCAGGCTTTGATAGGCTGAGGCAGAGGTGTCAAACACCGGGCATGCTGGGAAGGCATGGCAGGGTCTTGGTGTGGCGTCTGTCCAGTCTCCCAACCTTGCCTTTGATCTGCTGTGGCCTGCGGAGCCACTGGCAAGTTGACAACCCTTGAACTGTGACTCTTAACCCAAAGGAAGTCTCCAAATTGTTCTTTGAACTGTCTGTCAGACTGATCCATAGATTGAATTTGAAAATTTGACTTTAAGTCCCACCCCACTTCCAGGTTTTCCTTTGTTTTCTGGTTCTCACATGTTACTGTCCTGTACAATAGTAGATGTCGACAGAGAATCCCAGCCTCATATTTCAGATTCTTAGAAAGTCTGTTAAAAGAAACCACTAGAAGATAGAACGGAGGCATGTAAAAGGGGGCGGGAATGAGCCTCTGCATGCTCTCTGCTCTTTACTTTCACATTAACCTGAAGCAAAAAACATTTCATAAGATTTAAATTGAATGTTTTCAACTGTGTTTTGTTCCTTTCTGGATCAGGAAACACATTGTTGTTCATTCACACAAAACATTCACAAACTCTCAAGTCACATTTGACTCCAAGAGGTAGAAAGACAAATCTCACCAGCAAAACTCCTGAGACTGTGAGGGCATGAGTGCGAGGAGGGGTAGGTTTGGAGGGAGAGGGGGGGGTTAAGGGTCTTAACATGGTGAAGAATCAGGAAGGGGCTGATGTCATTCTTTAGATATGTGAGGGAGGGGTCGCAAGCAGAACAATAGATCTCTGTAGGGTTCATATCCCGTTAGAGCTGCCTCCACTGCACCATTAAACCCCAAACAGTTCAGATGTATAGAAACCTTCCCCCCTCTCCCTTTCTTGGCTGGATATTCCACATGGTCCCAACTAGTTAATGTTTAACAAGTTGTAGATTGGTTAAAGGACTGAGTACATGAAAGAAAAGCACATGAGATGGAAGTGGACTTTAATTTATTTTGGCTCACTTTGGTCATGTTAAAGTGTAACTAAACCCCTGAATTCTATTGCTAATTGCTAACTCCCCCTCCATCAACATGGCATTGAGTGTGTGAGAGTCCGCTGGAGCTTTGACGGTCACTAGAAGCACATTTACAGCTGTGACGAAGGCTACCATCGCACACGTCACCTTCCTCCAGATTAACCAATAGAATAAAACAATTGACCCCATATACAAAAGCTTTCTTTAATTACCCCAAAGGCCAACGAGATGTGTTTATCCTTGAAACTGACCGGTACTTCAACTGTAGTTTTATTAGATTACGTTGCAGTAAAACCGATGCAGAGTTAGATAAGCAAGGTACATGGCATAACATTAAAGCACCCCAATCTGTAGATCTGATCATCAGAAGGTCGGTCAGCTCTCTCCTTTCCCGTGGACATGCTATGTGCTATATAGCGTCATCTGTGTTGCAAAGACAACCAAATATGTCCTCTTTGTGTTTTATACCTTATATTGTTAATCCATCGACTCTCTTCTATCTCATCAATGTAACTCCATATTTCCAGTCACTGGGTCATTTTATCCAATAATATTCCACAATTATCTCAACCAAGAATCTAACTTCATTAAATGAACATGCAGTCTGACATAAAGGGCAGCCATCTGACTTTTTATTAAATATTTACTCTCACACTTACTCACTAATTTCAAACATTTACCTCCCTCCAATGGCCCATTAATCTCAAATGGCACAATAGTTTTCTTCTGAATCAAATTTCATAATCTTCTCAATCCTCTTCTGCAAGTTAACTGTGCCGCCGTTGACCCGAGACTCTTCTTCAGAACCAGTGGGGGGGTTGAAATCCAGCTACATTGTCTCCTCCAGGGTTTTCCCCGACAAAGACGCATTGTGTGTGGGCATAATAGAGGGACTTATTTGGCTGAGTGGAGTTTCCAACTTTAGCCACGGAGTGTTGTGTGTTTTTGCGAGTGCCAACTTGTTCTCAGGCTGGAGAGGAGGAGGACCGGCAGAACAGCACAGCCTTTGTTGCTTTCAAAACCTTCAGTTTGTCTGCACATTTTGGCATCTTTTGATATTTAAATGTGTAGCCTGATACTTTATACGGGAAAACGCTGAGAGGGAAAATAACTCATGTTTGGGGAATCATATTACTTTACAGTGGTTTATTTAATTTATTTGAGTGAGTTTTAAGTTGTATCTTTCTGTGAACTGAGAGTCATGGGGCAGTTCATCAGTTTAATTTGAGCAAAAGAGTGAAAGAGTGCGTTCTTGATGAGGGGTGATGGAAGAATCTTCTTTATTGCAGCCCTGCTTGGTTTAGGATGGTAAGACAGGTGCATTGTTATTCCCTCCGACCGCATTTTATGGTTGTAATTTCTCTGGATGTCATTCCTGTTTAGAGATGTAAAATACAGTCAGTATTGCCTGCTTCCCTGTTTATCAATGAGCTGGTTGTAATTAGAGGTCCGCAAGTCTGTCAGGGACCAGACAGGTCAATTTGAGCCCTGCTCGGGTCTGTTCTTTTAATTTATAGACAAGGCTCGGGTCAGACTCAAGTTCATTTAACTTCTCTCCATAGTGTGTGTATTTGTGTGTGTGTTAAGCTTAAAGGTCCAGTGTGTAACATTTAGAAAGAATCTATGGGCAGAAATGCAATATAAGATTCATAGGTATGTTTTCATTAGTGTATAATCACCTTTAAAATAAGAATTCAGACTCAAACCCACGGTCAGGTGAGCTACCAGGGGCACCTTAATGCTGTTCTTAACCTTTTGTACTGATGATTCATCAGGGAAAGTTTCCTGTCGATCCACTTCGCTTCAGCTGTGAGTCACATAACGCTGTCGATGGGAAACATGAGAGCGAATCCAGTTGACATCACACAGTAGTGTTTGAACATTGTGATGTCACAACGAAAAGGACTCCTCTGCCGTCTTTTTGTTCTTAACGCCGTCCATTAGAATAAAATGTAACACGTTGATATTGACTTCCTTTAAATCTGCTCATACTCTGAGTCATCTGTGGTTAAAGCCTTATCGATGGACGTGGTCAGAACGGTGTCACGTAACAGCGGGCACTGTTGACATCAGAGCAGCCAACAATGAGAGTGAGCCGCTGAGCATCCGCCCCGTCAGGTTGTGTAAGCGTGTACTCCTCGTTTTGTCCCTTCGTTTACTCAAAGACGCGTTTCCTCAGACAGGAAATTGGCTGGCCACTTCCTTCTGTCTCATTTCCACTAATGGGCCCATAAAACTGGCCCTGGTTCAGAAGGAGGGGGGGCGGGGGGAGGCACGCAAAGAATGTCGCTCCCTGTCTAATGAGCGAGATAATTTACTTTCCAGCTCGGATGTGATGATCTGGTTTGGTTTTGGGAGAGAAGTGTTTTATGAGTCAGACAGTTGGCCTCGGATCAATTGCAATACGCAAACCAATTCCTTATGTGTAACTCTTTATTGACTTGAAATATTAGATTCAGATGGCACCTGAACCGTACAGCATGCTGTCAGTATCTGGTCTCGTTGGTCCGGTTCATGTCACAAATATCTTTCCGAAGAATTTCCACTGTTGCCACACTTGCTTTTTTACAGTCATAGTAACGACTGGGACACGACTGCCCGTGTGAGCAGCGACACTTCACTAGAGAGTCTTGCTTATTTTGTCCACACACAGACAGTGAAAATGATCTGTTGATATTGTACCAGCAACAAATACACCTTTCACTACAGTTTCAATGGTTATATATGTAGAATCTGTTTTTAAAGGAAGTTAATCCACCAGTTTTGGAAACCTACTGAAAGATTTCCCACTATTTCAGATCATTCTTGCTAATAAAGTTATTGCACACCAGAAATACTGAGAGTGCTGCATCAACGCTGAATGTGAAAGAACCAAATATAATCACTTTCTTTCACTAGAAATCCAGGAGGTTCTTTCTTCTGGCAGTAGTCTTGATCCATCAGAACTGTAGTCGATATTACCACTATGACTTTGTACATAAGCTCTTAACTTTGTCTCATATCTGCGAGCTACCCTTTTGTTATCTCTATTTTGACGACACTGTGAACAAAGCAACCGTTTGTCTGTGGCTAAACCCATCACTGCCAAAGTGGAGGTTGTCAACACATTGATCATCTGTCTGCCCAGAGTTAAATGAGTCTAGATTATAGTCATTGAACCTGCAGGGGGTTGATCTTATTCTGACTCCTTTATGCAAGGTCTGATACCAACTCTTAGTGGATTGTCTTTTGGTGTAGAACAGCTGTGTTGTGGCAAAGGCTCTAATAGGATGTTTCAGTAATTATCTAGATGGTAATCTTACCTTCTTATTGGCTTATGTTGTCACTGAAACTTTTATGAGACTCCTGATTAAAAATGGACAAATGATATGAACCAGCTGCTAATATTTGTGTTACTTGTTGCACCTTTCTCATCAAGAGAGCTCGATACCAGACATCTTTTATGTGAGGATGCAACTTCACATAAAAGGTTCTTTTTCTGTAGATATATTTAAAAAAAAAAAATATTCAGTGTGTAAAAGAAATGGTGAACAAATTTTAGTTACAATGTAGTCCCAGTAGACGTAGCTCTCTAAAATGGGGAAAAAACAAGGAGGAGGTGTAAAATGTTGTAATTATCTAAAGATATAGATACAAATATTCGACCTTGTGTAATAATTACATTTGAATTGAATGTTTAAAATCAGAAAACACTTGGATATGGTGTTTTTTGTTTTAGTCCTCAAACTGTTTAGCCAGGTCTTGCACTGCTGGCCAGTTCACAGGTTTTTCACCACCTTGAACTGGATCCAACAACCTGAAGCAATAGCTAATTTAAAAACATGAGACAGTTTGACAGGGAAAAGGATTAGAGCCTGAACTTACACTGACTGAAGTTCCTCTGCTTTTGTTTCCCTCAGATGAGCACCATGCCTGGTCTGCCAACCCGTCCCTGTTTCTACGACATTGACCTTGACCCGGTCACAGAAGAGATCACTGGGCTCTTCTGAGGATGCTCCAGTTAAAGATATCCATAAATAGGTATTCACACACATGAACATAAAGTAAATACAGTGAATGCTCCTGGAACAGTGTATCATTATAAACATTTAACAAGCAGTCATTGTCTATATAACTTGTCACATGAGACTTAATTTCCTCTCTGGAGTTTACTACCTCATTCACTCGGTGCCAAAGGCTCCAGTCTGTGAGGCTACACTCTCACTTATACTCACAGTTAAACTCATCATCCTGTTGTCCCTGCTCTTCCCTCAGGATCCTCCGCTCCCTGCGTGCACCATCAGACTCATCCTTTCTCTCTACCTTGGACAGGAAATACTTCCTCACAATTCCCAGCCGCCCAAACTCTCCCCACATTACAGTAACATGTTTACTGGAGCATTAGCTTCTATGCTGTAATTTGCACACATTATGTCACATGCCAAAGATGACCGTCTACATCCATACCTTGTATACCGTATATTCTGTATGTTTTTTACCTTTCTGTACAATGTCTTCTATGGAATAGTCAGTTTAAGCCTTCAGCCATCTTGAATTTTACTTTAATGTTGTTTTCATAGACTAATAATATTCCTTTTTTGTTGTGAAAACCTCAAATGTCTTATAACAGTGCTGCATTTTTTTTTTTTTTAAATGAATTTTTTTAAAGTCTTAAGCTTTTTAATAGAAATGGGGTGCAGCTTGTGTATTTATTAACTAAATTGCTGTTGTACGCACAAAAAGCCATTACGGTGTTTAATGTAACCTCTTGTGTCCAAACCTGCTGGATGTCCCAGCTGCTCTACTGCCTGAATGAAACACACTACAAGTTACAGACTCATCACTTCAAAGCCATTTTTTAAAGATTTTGTTCAAGTATTACATTTTTATGTGATGGGAAAAAAAGTATATATATCCAGCCTGAATATGTGGCATTTGAAGGTTAATGCTTATAATCATAAATGTTTGAAAGTATTTTATGATGTTACTGGAGGTGGTCTTAATTTCAGACGAGGTGTCCCTCCTCTTTACATTTCAAACTCAAGTTACTTATCAGATAGAAATACCAGTGTCAGTATGTCTTGATTAATCACAGTGTAATCACAGGTGTACCTAAAGCTTTTTGTTAAAGTTTAAACTTCATAGAGTCGTCCAGTTGTGTGGAATTAACACAAACTTGCTCATAAAATAACTGTATGGTTCTCATTGTCAACAGTTGTATGTGAAACATTTTGGTTCTCAGAGATTAAAAGTGTGTGCCTTTTTTCCTCAAATAAACCTTTCATTTACTCTAAAACTGTGTTTGTGTTTTCACACCCAGCAGCTGACTTGTGGCTCAGGCCATCTGTTGTTTGAACACACGCACTCGCTTCCTGTTATCGCCGGGTTCTCCAAAGAGATGCTTTTAATGCAAACCTATTTTTGTTAACTAAAAAACAAAAAAACCTCCTCTTTCTTTCTCACTTCCAGTCACATATTTAAAAAGTTTTCATAATTTTTTTTGAAGTGTAGCTTTACTCCGACACAAGGGGGGGCGGTCCCTGTGTTGGAAGCGTGCCTGATAACCAACAGTCGGGCCCCGCCAGCAACACCCCAGGATGCAGCATCTGTCATTATGAGGTGTTTGGGTTTTGCAGGATGGAGCCCACATACATGTGTGCACATGTGTATGCCTATCATAGCTGCCATTCCACACCTGCTAAGTCTGTTATTCTCTGTGTTCACTGGGCAGGATCTGGCACTTTAACTACAGTAAAGACTGCAGGAATGCTGTCATTTATACAGTAGTGCTCCAACAGCACATTTAGTTTGTGTGTGTGTGTGTGAGACTGAAGCCTCTTGTTTTGAGCTGATGACAGATTTGAAGACATGGTGTTGATGAGGAGTGGGTTTCGTCATTGCTTTGTAACGTGCTGGAAAATCCCCCCACTTTGTCAAATCAGAGTTGTTTATGTTCAGCTTTGGACTTCTTCATCTTTTAGTGCTCATATTTAATAGACTGGCTATTTTCAGTACCAAGGACAGGTCCTTTTTGAATGTCTGTCTGAGTGTAACGCTGGAGAACGGCTAAGATGATCCGAGGCTGGATTACCAACCAGGCAAAACCAGCAACTGCCCCTGAACCTCAGACCTCCGTTGTGGCCCAAAAAGTCTCAGATTCACTTTGTGTGAGTTGCCTTTTGTTTGCACAAGTTAAGTACAATATTAACTGGGTCCTTCTGCATTATTATGTAATATTGTCGGCCTATTTATATTGTACATGGTGCATTTTCATTAATAAAGCTAACATACATAACATACAGAGGGGCCAGGTAGTGTTTTAGAAAAGGACTACTGGTTTGTTTGAGTGTAAAAAATAATCACACTACCATCTCTAGTGTGCTGTGTGTGTAGAGGCGACAGGGGTCCACAGACTGGCCATGAAACATCAGGCGATTCTCTGGATAAATGGTGTTTTTCCTAATACTTCCCACATTCCCTTTATTTGTTCAGTATAATTTATGTATAGAGTAATTGTTGCCCCACTTTACATGTTACAGTACAGTTGACAGCTTTTTATGATCCATTTTGGGGGATAATATGTTTATAACTCAGCCCTGTGTTGTCTGGTAACGTCTGTTTTACATCACAAACCCCCTTTTTAATTCGCTGCTTGTAACAAAGTATGAATGTGTCAACCCCCTCGCTGTGTCTGGGCGAGCCCTCGCACTGTGCCCACGCCAGACATCAACCCTCAGGGCCACATTCTTCAACTTACCCTGTCTCTGTCTGAAAAACACAGCACTTCCCACCAATTCACTGTTGCATTTTTTACACAAAACAAAACAAAAATATGCGGTCCCTGTATTAACAGGAAATCATGTGGGAGTCTCTCAAAGTTTTCACATATTATCTCTCTGCTGTAGCTGATGTAGTTACAGTTTTACCGTAAGTGTCTTACAGTTCACAAGAAAGGTAGATTTTTCTATAATTTGGATGGCTGTTCCATTTAAGCAGAAAGATGATATTTTGTACTCATGCTCTCATAACATACTCTCATCTGTATTTTAATGTCTGCAGAAAGACAAGTGTGAAAAAGAGAGAGTGAGCTGATGGTTACTGAACCTTTCCACTTGTAAGTGTGTGTAAGTGTGAGCGTGCTTTGTGCCTTTAATGTGCCCTTACATTACTGTTTTATTGAGCGGAGACCATGACATATCCGGTAAGGCTTTCACTTTAATGAGAACCTCCTCCCTCCCCCTGTCTCACTCCACTCCTCCATCCCTCCCTCCCCCTCCTCTTTCAGATGACATCAGCATTTCTGCTGATGGGCAGCAGGTCATTGACTAACACATCTATCCACATTCACCGTGCAACTCTAATGAGATTTTCTGTCTCGGTTTACTTCGTCTCGCAAGAAACGTGTTTGAAATTATTCTATAATTGTACAACAACAACAGGCTCTTCTTACTGAATAATATCAAAACAGTCAGAGACAATTTTGTGCCACAAAGGTCGATGACAAATTGCACTCCTGAGGATTGATGTGCACCGCTTGCACCTCTGGGAGCAGAACGGTTTAATCACAGTACAGTCGGGGGTTAGAAGAGGAATACGATGTCAGTTCTGTCAACTACATTGTCCCAAGTAATGCTCTCATACTGTCTGTGTGAAATTACTCTTTCTAAAGATTTTTTTTTTAAAGATTTAAAGTAAAGTTAAATCTTGAAAGTTTTTTGAGGCATTGATGTCCTGACAGAAGCTCAAATTAGTCCAGAAATTGAAACCACTGAAGTGAATGACACAACTCTAACTCCTCATTGATCCATCTCAAAAGGTTTGAATCAAATCTGACGTATTGATTACATTTTTAATGGAAATAACACAGAAACACAACCTACATCTTAATATAATACAATTAAAAACATAATTAAACTGTCTGGCTCACTGACTTCCACCATGGGTAAATAAACAATAGAGTGAATACTGAATAAAGCTGCCTTACAACATGTTTGTCATAAGAATTAAATACTTGAGTTGTGTGTTATTTTAATATAAATAAGGGTGTCATCTTCATAAATGTGCAGTTCCTTGCATATTGTTACCACATCTGTTTTTAAGCAAATTAGATGTAGAGTAAGAAATGATT